TAGAATATTCTCAGAAAACGGATTGATGGACAGATTCTAGTCTGACTCTTTGGTTCCATGGTGATGTAGACAAATCTCTTAGGAGATCTGCAGAGCAAAAACATCCCCATAACAAGAAACAGATTTGGGACTTTTTTCCGGACCATATTTAGAAAATTTGAGGTCTTTTGATCAAACAATGTCGGTAACCTTTTTCTGGCGAAAGTATAACATTCAGATTTTTTTTTGGAAAAATAACATTACAGACAATTATTTGTGACACCTAGTTCTACATAGAATATCAAACACTCCCATTTACTCAACGAAATGTTGAGTAAGGGGTATGGAAAATTGAAGTATCTATACCTTATCTTCTCGATGGAGTCAGATTTTGGAAACTGTGTTTGATCAATCAAGTATAAAAATATACCCAGGAGAGTACAATAATATTTAGGAAAGCCTTAATGAGTATTTCGACAAATTCATCACGTTTTTTGTATATGGTAGAGTTAGTTCACGAACAATTTAGGAAGTATTTACATTAATTTATTTTAATTTTTGAACGGAACATTGATGAATATGACGAATATGTTCTTAGAATGTATGTTGCAGGATTCCATGTTATTATATGACCCGCATGAATCATTGGAAGGGTGACCAACGCTGTCACGCAGTTGGAAGCCTACTATAAAAATGTAGTGCCAAAAGAGTTGGAACCCCTAAAAATATCGAACGTGTTCGACAAGGAATATCAAGAGGTTCTTGCCGATCCTAGGTCGTATCGTTTCTGGAAACAGCGATATCAGTTAATTCCCTCGATCACCTGACCAAACTGTCTGAATACACCAAGAAAAATCCATTTATACAAGTCTCTATCCAAAAACAGCCTATATCTTCTAAATGAAACATTTTGACCACGAAATGTCATCTGATGAACGTGAAAAGTCTACGTTTCCAACGTGAACCAGGTCAACTTTCCAAATCATTTCTTTTTTGTTTTTAAAAGGTTACCTTATGGATGCTATGGATGCTATTCGAATCATGGCGGGTCTGAGTTTCAGGGGGGACTGCAGACAAGCATTTAAACATTTTAACATACTCACCTTACCATCTCATTACATACTAGAAAATCTGATGTATGTGAAGGACAATGAGGATAAATTCAAAGTGCATAGTGGGGTCCACAACTATGATACAAGACAAAAAAACTTGCTCATCCCAGCTTATCATAGGTTGAAAAGGTGTCAAGATGGCCCAGGCTATCTATCCATAAAATTTTTCAATACTCTACCAGATTCCATAAAGAACTTGGAACGAGATAAATTTAAGAATGAAGTTAAGCAGATTTTGTATCTAAATTGCTTTTACTCATATGATGAATTCCTCACACACAAATTTTAATAATTGTTTCTAATATTTTCTAATATTTTCTGTTTATAATCAAATGTTTTAGTCTAAAAATTTAAATTATATATAATTGGATTGTAGCTCCACTATATTGGGCCTAAAGTCAAACTTGCATTGTGCTCATAATTTTGACAAATATTGAAGATTTTAATTCCCTGTTTTTACAAATGTATGCTAACCTGATTACTATAGTTTCCTACTGTTTTGACGAGTGTAAATACCTATGTATAATGACATGAAATATATTGAGTATTGGGTATTGAGTACCTTATGGATTTGAAATGAAACAAGATTATAGTCAGAAGACGAGATTTGAAAGATAATTATTTAAATCCTGAAAGATGCGATTTCACAGTTATATGAGTATCATTTAAGTTCAATCCCTTCTTCATTTACCATCTTTGTCATACGCGTTTACCACAATGAGTCATCTCACTCACTTGTTCCATCAGAATCGTTAGTCGGATACCTGATATGTAAGGACATATTAGCCCGCAGCAGCACGTGAACCCTTCTTACAGGGTGATCATTTGTTTTTCGAAAAATTGATGTGGTTAAAAGTTCTTCTAGAAAAATTAGGGACATATTTATTCTATACCCCTAAGTATACGATTTGTTGGAGAACTACAGGAACTTGAACTACATCAGGGCGTTATAGTGTGTTCACGATAAATCGTAATGCATCGGAAATTCTTCCAATTTGGATACAATTTCGTAGTTTCAAACTACCTTGATATTCGCTATAATGGCAAATGCTTGGATTTACACAGTTATATTGGTGATAGATTGTATTGCGTATATACAGTATTTACAAGATAAGGATGTCTTCGTATCCTTATCTTGGACACGGTGTATTATTATATTTGCTGTTTCGAAATTCACAAGAACTCTAGCTAACAATTCATCACGAGAAATAGAGGTGTTTCTTTTACGTTACGTGATTCGTGAACCCTCATTTACTGACGCCATCGTGTGAATTTTTGGCAACTATGTTAACTCATGATCCAAGGTAGTGACAAGTAGAACAAATACTCCAAATTGGAAACATTTTCATCGTAGGCAAATGAAGATATTGTGTACCTACTGAGTATCTCGCCCATGTGATGCACTTCAATGCCCTGTATTTTCAATGAAAATCTCTTATTAGAGATATGTCTGTATGATAAGTAGATATGTCTTCAATATTTCTCGACGATTTTCAACCCACTTCATTTTTCTGGATACAAAACTAATCACCCTGATACTGAAATGCCAATAATTTGACTAATGAATTGAAAGCAAATTATATTGATATGAGTATTATTTCATTTTTATAATATCACTATTTAATATTGAAATGCTAATCATTTGACCCCTATATGAGCGTTATTTCATTCTCATGTAAGTGTTGTCTCACAGTTACATGATTTTTTCGAAATGATGTACTTGATTACAGAGAAAAAGGAACTATGCTGGCGCCTATTCAATTCAGAAGTCTACATCTACAGCTAATAGATATTTCTCTTGATGTACCTAGAAGCGAAGATAGATCAGTTTTGAACATCTTCCTTTTCAGGTATTCTCACAAAAAGAAATTGCAGAAAGTTCGGTAGACTAAGACTGTTTAGAGAAACGATACGCCCTGACATCAGAGAGAACTTCTTGATATCGCTTGTCGGTAATTTAAGGGATTCGAAGTACTTGGTACTATTTTCATAGTAGTCTTCAACTACGTAGCAACGCGGCTGCTCACCCGTCCAATGATTCAATATAAATAAATGGTAAGCCATGTGGTTCCTGAAAGGCCGATGATTTTCATTCAGCGTCACCCCAAATCGTCCCGTATTATTGCCGAACCCTGTATATTTGAACGTTGTCAAAAAAATCATTGAATATGTTATGCTGTCTGCTGGCTGATTATATGATTTGTTTATGTTGTTGCTTGGTTTGTTTCCTCTTTGTACTTGAAAATTGCAGCCACGAAAACATCAACAAAATATCAAGAGCAAGATGTACCTTGAGATCTCAAACCCAAACTAACCACTTGATTAGATTCTTAAAATTATCAAAAAATGTCAGTTCATAAAACAACCGGGTATCAAACTATTTAAACACGTTTGTTTTATTTTCACCAATTGATGACCCATGTTCTTAGAAATATCAGCTGCCATTTTTCGAATTGCTCATATAATTGTTTTAGCGTTGTCGGAAGTTACCAGATGTTTTCTTATATTGGTCCGAAACAGGATCAATTCGAGTTGTGATAAATCAGATAGTGTCATCATAGGATAAGTTTTTTGTGATGTATATTTTTCATTATTTATAAATATTTATTTTGAATAGTCGCTGATGATTGCCTCTGTAAAACTTGTAAAAGTCTATTCACAGAGTCATATTAGGCGTATCACACATGAATATCAATCTCATCCGCTTTCTTCAGCGACCGTTCAAGATTTTACTTAGATGTACCTAATTTACAATATCATTTGATGAAAATAGAATGTGACACTAAGGCAGGAAGTTCCGATTTTGAAATTTTGAAATATCATTCTTTTCGTAACTCGCACAGATATCCGAGTTTTCATCGAGAATTTCTGAAAAATTCAATTCCTACCACTTAGAGAATTTGGCGAATGAAAACATATACCCTCAGTATAGAATAATCGACTCTTCTCATATCTGAATGGATGTGATCATATGATTTCGATTGCATAGCATATTATACAATACAATATCGCAACCAAATCTCAATGTCTAGTGTCATCATTCAGAATATTTGCAATTCTTGTACATAATAGATACCTACCCATATTTCTATTGTTACTATAGAATTTTGTAATGTCTTCAATAAATTATCACAGAAATAAGGACCTTATTCCATTCATTGAAATAGTGAGAAATGGCCCGCAGTGTGATTTCTACATGAGTATGAATATAATCGTATACAATATTTTGTATTGATTTTGTATAAAGAATTAAAAAAAAATATTATAAAGACAAAACTTCTAGATTCAGAGAATCATTAACTGTACATACAAAGTGAACTGTGAATCGTGTCCTATATACGGCATAGATTGGTCAGACAGGTGACATTGTTTACCACCGCCTTCACGAACATCATATGTGTTGTTTAAGCAACATGCCTTATGGACGTGATTCCAGTAGTCATCAGATTGTTGGGTATGCAAAAATCTCTCCATATGTGCTATATATGATATTATTATTGTTCAATTATTTGAAGATATACAGGGAGTTGCTCATGCAACATACCTCACTGTCTCATTCAGAATAAAGTTACCGATCCCCTTTTGTATTTAGGAATATAGTACCATACCTATGTGTGCAACCTCTTGAACATGTATACAGGGTTTTACGAACTTTGTCGGTTTATTACTCAGAAACTGAGCAAACAATACTTTTTGAACTAACATATTTTTCAAATGAGCCATCCCACAACAACATACTGTTTGTTTTTATCTTCGAGGTATAGCACCTTCAATTTCAGGAATACGGAAATAATGTGTGACTTTCTTCTCCACTTCAATCATTCACTCTCAATCCCAAATGTTGCTCGAACTTGATAACAGTAAGATTTCTGTTCTTACATGATGGATAAAAAAACAAGGAAATTTTCTACTTAAAAATTTTATTAGATCACAGATTATTATTTCTTCGTTATAACTGTCTAGAGCTATTTGTCCCTTTCTGAGTAACTGGCAGGATTGATCCTCATCAAAGAATGCAATTGAAATTGAGATGCCATCAGAATTACGTGATTCTGGATATACCGTCTTCAACTGCAGAATGAATTCCTAAGATGAATGAGACACACTCTACAGCATCATGTATACTTGGGAATATCTTGATAGCCTCTGAACCATTACCTACCAGGTCACATTTTACCATTGTATCATAAACGCGATCTGAAAAAGAAAGAAACAAATGAATATTCAAAATTCTTGTCACGAGTGATGGAATTGACGCGATTATTCCATTAATTTCAAGATACACGATTTTGATTGGTTCGAATATCTGGGCTGAATCAATAATATGATGTTTTCGTTTCTGTGTTTCGACTGTTGATTGCGAAGTTGATTGGCTACTGGATACCTACATGATGAGTTTTCATTTTTGTATTTCGCTTCCTCATTGTTAGTTTGATCAAATATAAAACAAAATGACCTGAGAATTAGATTGGTATATCTATAATAATAATAATAATAATAATAGTTTTTATTGACAGTCTTCAAAATTAACAGAATAAACAAACATAGATATTTATATAAACAGACTGGTCAAAAGGCAGAGTTCAGTCTAGTTAGAAGTCACACGAAGCGACATCTAAAAAGCCTGCTCTTCCACTCAACCTCATATAGTGATGAATATAAGATCATCCCACTGAAAATCATGAAATTTTACCCAGAAAATGATAACAATATAAAAGAGAAAAACTTAAAATTAAATACATCAAATACATCAGTGATATTAACTGATAACAATATAAAAGAGAAAAACTTAAAATTAAATACATCAAATACATCAGTGATATTAACTGACACTTAATATTCATTATATTTATTCAACATGAAAGGATAGAGTATTTCAATAAATGATCTATTCTGGTAGAGTTAAAACACCACTGAATACATCGTTTTTGAGTTCTCTGGTAAATCGATATTGGTTCATATATTTATATTTCTCAGGAATCCAATTGTACAGTTTGCTAACGTTATACGAAAAAGAACCTTGAAATGCATGCGTTTTATGTTTTGGTATTGTTATTTTATTTTTGTTACGTATATTGATGTTATGTATATCGGTTCTGAAACGGATGTTATTATACAAATAGGGTGGTTTATGAGACTTTATGATGGAATGAAAAAGATTACATGCATTGAGTGTTCGGCGTTGTTTTGTGGTTAGCCAACCAATGCTTCGAATATGATTGGAAATATGTTCTCTTCTTCTGACCCCGCAAACCATTCGGACACAAGAGTTCTGAAGCTTTTGTAAGCGTGCTGAGTCTGATTGACGGATATTTGGACCATAAATGGCATCACCGTAATTGAGGTGCGACAGAACCAAAGCATTGCAAAGTAGTATTCTCGAATTTTTGTTAAGCATTTTTTTATTTGAATATATCAATCTCAGATTATTAAACCCTCTACGAATTATCATGGAAACATGAGAGGAGAATCTGAGATCTGTATCAATTATTAAACCCAGGTTCTTACAGGACTCTTGAATTGGCAGTGTATCACCATTAAGAGTGATCTGTATACGATTTGAACAACGTTTTCTCATGACATTTCTACCAAATAACATTACATTTGACTTGGATGCGTTGATTGTTAAACCTAGCTTCTCCGAAGAAGAAAGCAGCGATTCGAGGTCACTATTTATGTGTATTAATGACAGATCTAGATGACGTTCCTCAAATTGATAATATAGCTGAGTATCATCAGCGTAGAAGTGGCTAGAGCAATGTTCCATAGATTTAACAAGTTGACTTGTGTAGAGAATAAAAAGTAAGGGACCCAGAATGGACCCCTGAGGAACCCCATTTTCTACTTCAATCCACTCAGATTGTGCTTTTTCAAGGATTACTCTTTGAAAGCGATTCGTTAGATATCCATTAACTAAAAGACAGGCTTTATTAGAGAACCCTAAATATTTTAGAATACTCACCAACAAAGCATGATTTATCCTGTCGAAAGCTTTGGAGTAATCAAGCAGAATCAACACACAAAGTTTATTCGAGTCAACCGCGTGGAGAACGTCATCTATCACCTTCAAGACAGCAGTAACACAACTATGTGCCGGTCTAAATCCAGACTGACACTCTGGTAAAATACTATTTTCCTCGGAAAATATGCGAATTTGTTTATCGATCGTTTTCTCAAAGACTTTGGATAAGGTGGGTAACAGACTTATCGGACGAAGATCCTTGTAGTCTTCGGGAGCTTCAGTCTTAGGTAAGGGTATAACATTTGCAGTCTTCCAAGCAGAGGGATAAACAGAATTTTTTATGCAATAGTTGAAAATATGCGTGATAAATTGTAGTAGATAAGGACAACCCAATAATAACATAGAAATGGAAATACCATCTGACCCTACTGCTTTTGACTTGATAGAAAGTATACTACGATACACTTCGCTCTCGTCAATTGTTTTGAATTCGAAGTTGAGATCATTAGAGATATTTGAATTGTAGTAATTCATTGTTTCTTGGTCGATATTCGATTCACCTCTTGAGCTACTAATGAAATATTTGTTTATTAAATTGACATCAGAGAGGTGGTTTGGTATGCAACGGTCTTGATCTACTTTAGTTAGGTTCATATTTTTCAATTCCTTCCATAAATGTTTGTTATCTCCAATTTTTTCAAAAGAAGTACTTCCTTGAATATATATTCCAAGTATGAACATAAATGGTAGGTATATAGTTATCAGATAAGAACAATACTTCGATCGTGATTATCTAAACACCCGCTTGTACTTTCAATATTTGTTAGGTAGGTATATCTTGATTGCCATAATTTCTCACATTTGCAATAAGTTTTTGGTGATGCTTTTCACTGAGTTGGATGTAGGTAATTTGCGAAATGCGTGTTTTGCTGACACATACATATTGAAAACACCGAACTTGACAGGCCAATGAGAGACAATAGTAAAGTTCGGTTATTTCGATAAGCCGAACACATGACCCGAGCCTCTGATTGATTCATTCGATAACCGCATTAAATAGTCTATATAATGAATTTTTACTAGCTGAAACTATTGGCAACACAGCAATTTACAACCTCTCAAACTCCTGAGATTTCTTACCAGAACACCCAGCGATGTAGAAGGAAACATTCAATTTCCTGAAACTTTCTATCACATTCTGTAGCATTGAAACTCCTGAAGGATCAATATAACTCAATGAGGAAAAGTCCATGATGACGCATTTGAGTGTCATGTTTATTTTCCCACTAAGTTTAACCAACTTCTTCTCGTTAAACGTCTTCGTACTATTTTCCAACTAAGAGAGAGAGCAAAAAGTTAGAATACACAGACTGTATTGATCAGTTTATCATTGTTCTTATACCTTCTTCTGTGTAGCTTCGAGCTTTTTCCTATTGATATGCTCTTTTTGTGGGTTCAGGTCAACTAATTTATAAAGCTCGTCTCTAAAAATATTCTTGGTTGCGAAGTTCAATCCTCCACTATAATGGAACAATTTCATTCCATCAATCTCCTTTGCCTGAAATCAAATCTTCATATTACTAAAGACATATTTGAATTGAGACACATTTTAGCTACACCAATATCAAAATTGATCAATGAATCTTCCATGAAAGAAAGTTTCCCACACGAATTAAAACATTCATCAGTAAGAGCTATTTACAAAAATGGAAATGCTCAGGATCCAACTAACTATAGACCAATAGCATTAATAAGCATATTTTCTAAAATTTTTGAAAAAATTCTCAAGAAACGAATTGTAGAATTCATCAACAAGAAATATAGCTTTGATTCTAATCAATTTGGTTTTCAAGAAAACAGTGGAACACAAGCAGCAGTACTACAAGTGATAGAATCAATCCAGAGAGGACTTGATTCAGGAAATTATGTGGTAGCTGTTTTCATTGATCTCAAAAAGGCTTTTGACACAGTTGATCATAAAATACTTTTAGAAAAATTAGAAACAATGGGACTCAGAGGCACTGTGAGAAATATTTTGAATTCATATCTTGAAAATAGGACAATCAATACAAAATCAAACAACTCTGTGTCAAATAAACTATTAATCAATAAGGGTGTCCCACAAGGCTCTGTTTCAGGACCTATACTATATTTACTTTATGTTCAAAATATCAGTGAAATTGGTCTAGCGTGTGAATATACCATGTATGCAGATGATACAGTACTTTTATATGAAGGCAAGAATCCTTCAGATTTAGAAAATATGATAAATGAAGAATTGAAAATATTTGAAAAATGGCTCCAATTTAACCTTTTATCGATAAATACTAACAAAACAGAATATATGATTTTTCAACAAAAAAGTAAACAAAAAATTTACCTCAACCTTAAAATAAAAAATGAACTCTTGAAACAAACTGACCAGATAAAATATCTTGGTTCTTGGTTTGATGACAGGTTGAAGTGGGACAAACATATTGATGTTCTGACAAAAAAAATATCTCCAATTATTGGTGCATTGAGAAGATGTCCCAAACTTGATATTAAAATTGCAAACATGATTCTCTACTTTCATATACTGAGTCGTATCAACTATTTAATAAATGTTTGGGGATCTTGCATGTTCAAAGAACAATTTCAATAAAATATCAACATTACCTATATAGAAAATTGTTAAGAGTATTGTATCGTCTCCCATTTGATACACCAACCAATCAATTGAATGAAATAACAAATACGTATTCTTTAGATGAAATATATAGAATGGAAACTCTTAAAATATCATATAATATCATAAATAAAAAATTGAAGTCGAATATTATTTTGATACGGAATTCTGAAATTCATAATCATGAAACTAGACCATATAACATGTTCATCTTGACGCCGCTAGCTCCCTAATCGGACAAAAAAGATTCACTCATTCAGCCTTACCTGAATTCAATAAACTACCTGATAATATAAAAAATTGCAGAAATATAGGTATATTCAAAAATGAAGTAAAAAAACTGATTATTTCTGAGCGGACTGGATAAATTTTTTTTTTTTCACACAAATATTATTCTTTGTTTGCCAATTTACAGTAGTTGTTGATATATTTTGAATGATGCTGTTTACCTATAGGTATATAATTATGTACTTCCTTATACCAGAGCCTATTCTATCTGGAAGTTATTTGTTCAATAAATAAATAAAATAAATAAATAAATATAGTTGGCGTCACCCACATTTTCGCAACCCAAAACTCACCCCTTTATACTTGGTGATATCCAAATAGAGATCGGTATGGGGCACAGAGCCCAACAGACAAGTGTAAGGTTTGAAGCTGAAGATGAAAATGGATATCAGAGACATGGCCACTCCGACCAGCAATCCCACATCCATTCCAACTAGGACGACGGTAAAGAAGGTCATTATCCACACAGCCGCATCTAGCTTACTGAGCTTCCAGAACTTCTTGATATCTTTGACTTGCATCAGCATACCTTTGAGAGATACTACTATCACGCTAGCCAGAACGCACTGAAAAGTCGAGATCAATCAAATTTACAATCAGTCAATCAATCAATTTATCAATCCTTTGGAACTTACAAGAGTTATAGGACAAGTCAACAAAGCAGCACACAAAATAAGTATAACACAAATGATAGTGATACTGATGATAATACGATTCTAATTAACAGTAATATTGATATTGACAAATAAATCAAATGGACAATGACATATATTCGCGGGAATCAATGTTACCAGATGGCGCTCGGTTTTCATCGTTCCATGTCAAAGCCATGTCAAAACTGGGGGAAAACAAACTCAATCCTCACTCATTCCCATTGAATTTCTTGACATTGTCAATATTCGATCGAAAACGCCTGCTGTAGATGTTCTTTTGGCAGATATTTTGCTCTATTTAGATGGAAAAAGCCGACCAGTAGTGGAAGGAGCAGTTCTCCGTGCTAAACATGTGATTTTATGTGAGGCAGAAGACTTCAACAAAAGGCAAATTTTTGCCCTTTGTCTACAAACTTCGGCGATGAAATCTTCCCCACATGAAGTAAAATTGAAGTTGGGGTCCAGAGGAACTCCTGTAAACTAATGGATTTGTATTTGTTCCTGCAAAGCAAGACAATCTGGGTTTCGTAAACATGTTGTAGCTGTTCTTTTATATGTCAATTGATTTGCTCGTCATAATTAGTTTGAATTGTTTGAACTATATCCAATTCTTCACCCGTTCACTGTTCACTAAACTAATAAAAATGTAATAATGTAAAAAAATTAACCAACTCAACCATCATCACTACCAACAGTGTCAACACTTTATGTCATTGACAAGTTTGACTACAGCTACAGCAAGCTGAATGCAATGTAGTCTATGCACTTTATCCATAGACAACAGTTTGTTTTCCCCCAGTTTGAAGTTCGTATTATGTAACCTAGATGTTGCCCACTTCGTGAATCTCGTGAATAGGCAAAGGCATATAAAACTGCAATAAGACTTTATAATAATTTGAGAATCATGGCGGATTTCTGCAACATTTGCATAGTCCTAGTCTTAGTTCTAAGCATAGTCTTAGTATCAATTTTTGTCTTGAAGATTTGAAGTACTTATCCCGAAACATTAAAACTTGATTTAAGCATAAGAGTAATGTGAGAATTTGTGGTTCTTTTTGTATCAGAGATGAGGAAAATTATCTATCAAACTCATCAACATCTGAGCTTTCTCATAATATCATTTTCGGAACAACAAATCATCAACAATTCTATCAAAGGAGCATGCGCCGAATCCACATAATATAAGCATAAAAGTTCAAATTAATCAACTTTCGAGTTCGTTTCCTAGGCTTGTGCTTATGCTTGAGACTAAAATTGGTGTGTAAACAGCATCATGCAAATACCTTGTTTCAACTTCCAGTTATGCTTAAAATTATGACTAGGACTAAGTAAAGTTAAAATTTTGAAATTAAAATTGATATAGATTAAGCAAGTGCTCTTTCAAATTCTTGTATAGAGTAAGGACAAAGATCTATGAGGAGTTTGGACAATGCACGTTTGAATCTGCGAACAGGGTGTCCCATTGGAAAGCGGAAAGAATATAACGATGGGTAGAGCTCATTCAAGGTGGTTCTGAATATACCATATTTGTAGGGTCTTGCAAGTTTTATATCAGAGATATAGGATTTCATCAATTTTTTTCAATACCGATAAGTATTTAAATACTAAAATAATGTATTTGTATATTCAAATAAGCTCTGGTTCGAACCCTATATAAGGTCTAAAGCTTTGTTTATTGTTGGGCGATTTTGGCTCTGGTGATGCTGGCGATGAAACAGGTGATGCTGATCTTACTATTCGTGGATGGTGGCTACCCAATTCAAAATGACCTATAATAACATCACCAAGTTTCATCGCTAGCATCGACAAAGCCAAAATCGCCCAGCAAGAAACTAAGTTTTAGAGTTGATAATTATTGTTTTTGATGCTTACCCTTGGTAGTGGTTCGAAGAATGGACCCAACCATAGAAGTATGCCCACTAAAATAACACTGGCAATAATCGAGACCAGCTGTGTCTTTCCTCCCACGACAAGCTGTATCATTGATCTGGACAATGATGCACATACTGGCATACAAGAGAACAGGGATCCAACGATATTTGAGGCTCCCTTGAAAATTGATAAAAAAATTCAGTTATTATGTGTACCTCTGAGGAGTCTAAACAAATATCGGAATATTACTGAAAATTGAGGAGATTAGATATTCTTTCGAGAAACACCGACAGTTCCTGCTACTTATGGGTGAGCCAAAAATGTGCACCGAACTTCCTGGAGGTGATAGTACTTTAAAAAATTAGTATACTTCGATAGATAAACTTATGGCTCATATTAAGGGAGATAATCATGGGCGCCGCCACTTGAGGGCAAAGGAGGCGGCCGCTTTCCTCGGGATTTAAGCCTATTCAGTCTGAACTGAATGAATAGCAGAAATATTGAATACCAGCTGAGATAATCTCAAATGTCCTCGTCTTGGGTCTTTTACCGATGTTTACTTTATTTTTATGATATTCTTGTTTTCATTTAGGTATTTCGTATAAAAAAAAATAGATTTGCAGAAGTTTGTTGCTATACTCATCTAGTGCCCTTTTCAACCTAACTTTTTATATCCTTCTCGTAATATTTTCGAACCACACTTGTAGTGAAAATTGATCAAAATGATTTCATATAGTAATAATACTCCAAGTCGTCCCCACAAAGTTTAATATCATCAAATTATGAATGAAAAGGGGGCATGTTTCGGATCTATAGCTTATCCATTATCAGACGATTGAGCAGAAAAACTTTTATTGGAATCAGGGAAGAGACAATATGATTTTATGCAAATACAAAACAGAGAAGATGATTTTTTTGTGTTATCACAGGTTTTCTAAACAGGGGACCTGTGCCCCGATAAGCCAGTGGAATCGCAACATTAGGAGGTCGAAAGACATCCGTGAATGAGAAAATGTTCTCATTTTTATAGTTTGGAACCAAATAACTTTGATGTCATGTTGTTCAAACTCGATAGTCAGAAACAGAACACATATCTTTGTTGTCTCTACTTATCACCAAATTGTTTTTCCTATGAAGACCTCTTCAAGTTCTTGTAGTTTGAGCTTGACCTAATTCAGCAGAACCATCCAGCAGCAAAAATCATCTTCATGGACGATTCCAATGTACACAACACTGCTTGGCTCCTACACTCCAACAAAACGGATGAAGCTGGGCAACAAGCCGAAGCTTTCGCCATTACTCACGGCTCAGAGCAGCTTATCGAGGAACCTACACGAATTCCTGATGTCAACAAACATTCAAACATTCCGCCAACAACACACTATCGATTTATTCCTAACTGGTAATTCAGCACCTTACATCAGATGTACGAGCTCCACTTGGCAATTCTGATCACACACTCATCTCGACAACCTGCTCAGTCATTCCATCAACTACTCCAGCACCCCCAAGTCTTGTATGGCATTATGAGTTTCCTTGGAAAAGAATATGCTTTGATTCTGAGATCATCACGCTTGGAATGGACACATACATTCCTCATTCTTCGAAACGATCATCAGCTTCGAAACCCTGGTTCAAGAAAAACTGTTCTGGAGTTGTTGCCTTGAAACAAACAGCCTGCCATCGCTAGCGCAAGGACCCTAACCTGGTGACTAGAGCAGAATACGTTGAAGCCAGGAATAACTGCAACCAAACCAAAATTAGATCAGAACTCATAGATTGTCCCAATGGCTCCCGTTCGTTTTGGTTCCTCGCTAAAGCAGTCGGAAGTAATTTCATTAATAGTTCATTCCCACCAGTCTCCAAATTCGACAGCACATTAGCAACAACATCACAAGAGAAAGCAAACATTTCTACAGAGATATTCGCAGTAAATTGCACTCTGGATTCCCAGAGAAGAGTGCTGCCGGACATTCCACCAGTTGAAAGTCGAATGCCCGAAATCATACGCATTCTGCTCGGTTTCAAAACAAATAATGCGAATGGACCTGATGGAATTCCACCCATTATTCCCAAGAAGTGTACACCAGAATTGACATTGATTCTCCGCAAGCTATTTACCATTTTTTAGGCATTTTTCCATCTTGCTGGAAAATTGCTAGAGTACAACCAATACACAAGAAAGGAAACAAGTCTGCCCAACAACTATAGCCTGTTATCAGTAATTTCCAGAGTGATGGAAAAAGGCATCAACATTGAGCTGATGAAATAATATATCTGGAAAAGTTAGGAATCGATAATGATAGACAATATGGCTTTAGCCACCAAAGATCAGCTGGAGATTTACTTGCCTATGTCACCCATATACGGCAAGCTTCTTCAGAAAACCATGGGGAATCTCTAGCTGTAGTTTTAGACATATCGAAGGCATTCGACTGTGTTTGGCACCACTGCTGAACAAACTACCCTCATACGGCTTACCACCTCAGCTATGCCATCTTTTATCGAGATTATTTTTCAGGCAGATCGCTCCATGTGGTGGTGGACGGTCTGATACCATTGCTATCAATTCCGGCGTTCCACAAGGATCAATTTTGGCACCAACATTGTTCCTACTTCATATCAACGATCTATTGAGAGCAACCACTTGCCCTATCTACAGCTTTGCAGACGATAGTACACTCCATACTGCGTTCGCTTCTAGAATTCCCAATTCTTCCCAGGAAACTAATAACTCCCGACTGAGACAGGTCAACGCTGTCAATGAAGATCGTGCGGGGAACCAACAATCTAGTTGAATTCAACGCCATCGAAACTCAAGAATGTATTTTCTCTAGGAAGGCAGAACTCAGAATGCCTGATATAACAATGTCTGGTATCACCATTTCCACCGAGACCACTATATCTATGCTCGGTATTACCATCAGCAATACTCTCTGTCGTGGGTGGATCATGTTCGATCCATCGCAAAATGTGCTTCACAAAATCTCGGATTCTTGTTCCGGGTGAAAATCTACTTTACACCTCAACAGCTTCTCATGATCTACCAAGCACAGATACGGCCAGTTTTAGAATACTATTCTCATGTATGGGGTTCAGTACCCAAATATACGCTGATGCTCTCAGATCCCATCGAGAGGAGAGCAATTCACCTGCTGGGTGATGACACACTCACTAAATTTTCGACCCCATTAGAACACCGTAGAACTCTTTTCACAGCGTTTATGAGACCTTACCATCGCTAGGAGTTCTTGATTGGCATCTACTTCGTAGTCAACTTTTTGGGCCCACATCATTGCTAAAGAAAGAGACGTGACATACGAGACTATGGCGGTAGCGGTTCCGTCCAAAAAAACATCCTTGAACAGAGACAATGGCGGGAGAGCGGGTTCTGGTAACCTGAGAAAACAATGGAAAAATCATAATTATATTTCCCAAATTTATTCTAAATTGAAATTATTGATACGAATGATCTTTTTTGGAAGATCCAAGCTCATCAAGAACAGAGTTCATACAAGAATACTTCTCCTATACATTTCGATTTTGATTTCAATACTGAACATATTGGTAAGTTATATTTTTATATCATAATACATCATATTATCCTATTCGATTTGAGAGATGATGTTTATTCTCAATTTCAGAGGATTTTGATCTTTCATGCTCTCTTTTTGGATATTCAACAGATATAATTCAATGTTTGGCGTGGCAAATAGCCAGGAAAGTAGTAGTTTTCTGTTGAATATTCAGAATTATATTATATGCATATCTTTATATGAAGGAGAATGCAAATTCTCAACTTCAGAATATTTTGTTTTCAAATTCTTATCGTGTGTTTTCAATAGATGTAATTTAATATTCGTCGTGGCATATAGCCAGGAAAGTAGTTGTTTTCTGTTGAATAAACCGAGAAAGAATTAATATTTTCATCACATGAAGAAAGCGAATTCTCAATGACAAAAGGATTACTTCCATAATAATCAGAACACAAGTATGCATGGAAAGCAGAAAAAAACAATGCGAAATGCTTCTCCGAGGTAGTACTGTCTGGTCAATTCATTCTATGATAAAGTTAAATTCGGGAATTACCTGAAATTGAAAGCGGTAAGTACTGAAAAGACGATCAGTCGGGTATATGAACCGAAAAAATCAAATACTTTGAACCCCCAACAAATCAAGCGAATTATGAATACTGCTGCGGATAAGAGATCTGTTGATCAGGTAGGTTGTCGGAAACGTTTAATGTAAAACTCGTGCGGATACTGGATAATCATACTCGTGTACAATATGATGAACCATTCGTCCACGGCTCATGGTTCATCATCATGGCACAAACTCGTAAGAAAAAACTCATTTTCCTTCCGTACTAATTTTTTTCACATAACTTCTAAACGGCTGCACTGATTGGGTTGAAATTTTATATGATGGGAATTTCTATGGTTCCCAGGAAGATTTGAAAACTGGCATCTGCGTGAAATTCTCTATGGAATAAGATTTCAATTTCACATTAGATATAAAGGGGGTTCAGAAAGTATAGATTTTCAAAATTGCCGTGTATCTCATAAACCGAAACAGTTATGCAAAATCTGACAAGACCAGGTTCTATCTCCAAAGATAACTGAGATATAACTCAAAAGAATGGAGAACTGGGCACACTGTACAGGCATTCATGTACTGAAGATGTTGGAACTTGTTGGAATATGAATAGTTTGAAGATAATTCTTGGTTTCATTTCATTATTTATCGGTAGATGAAAAAATGGTGTATGTATCAACGATCATGATCATGTAATATGTGTATTATTTCAAGGGTATTTATTAACTCGCACGCGGTTTATTTACCTCGTGGTCGTGTATTTATTCCTATCATTTTAATTATGAACGTTGCATAAAAATCTGTTTTTCAATAAATTGTTGTTATGAAGGCATGACCTTTCAAATTCTCTATTTGTCAACTGACTCAAAAATCTGTTGTTAAGCGTTGCATAATATATCATCATATAGGTATGTAGGTACTCATAAACTGTAAGGCTGAAATCCATACTGAGACATTCTATGATAACTTTGCAAGACTGAAAATAACGAGACCATATCAGCCATTTCAGAGAATTTATTACACCACTGATTCCTGATATTCTATTGAGTACTTTCATATCTGAAATCCTTATCAGAACAAATTCATTTGTAATAATGATTGATGTATTAAACAAAATGTATAAGTTTTACGCAATATTCAACAATTATGAAAACTAAAACACCCTTTCATAATTTGAGCAGACAAATATCACGAAATATCTGAAATATCGCATATATCGAATATCAAATTCTGAATGCTAGGTTGAAAAGTTTTCATTGCTATTTGCGCAAAAGTCATCCAAGTATATGGCTTACAAATCTATACTCACTCCAAACGTTTTTGATTGAAAAATAGAGAATCGATAAAGGTGATTCCATTCAAAGTTAGTAGATACTATGTGAACTCGTATAGTTTGGCTTCTCACCCTGTAGGTATATCTCCAATTGCTTTGATGCCATAGTTTTCGCTCAGGAAGAAATACTGAGAAATCAACGTTCCAGAAACAACAGCGACCAGTTCGATGGGTATGGGAATTGAAGTCCTTTTGGCCACAATTGGCTAAACAATGAAACAATCATCTTTAGGTATAGCAACTTTCATTTGATTCGAATTGATATCATCTATACTTTATGAAATGCTCTGGGTGTTTCATTACTAATTGGAAATGCTTCAACTATAGAATTCCGAACTAAAAATATGAAGATAAAACCCAAATCATCTAGATAAAATGTGTCGCCTGTTTTGAGTAACATGGTGTTTCATTGAATATATTTCCAATTTGTATAATGAAACAACCTGTACAAGTTGAGCAAGTCAATGTAAGATAAGATCATTCATCAAGTTTTTCACTACAAGAACCTACTGTGGTTGAGATGACATGCTGTCATCTTCGTTAGTGAAGATTTTTACATTTTTTGATAGGTAATAGCTGATCTTCCTAATATAGTTATATAAAAAATACATTAATTTCACAGGTACTATACGCGAAGATAATATCTTCGGTATATGCCTATCTCAATTTCGTATTATCTATATAAAGAAAGAATACAGAATTGATATCCATTTTTCACGATGATAAAAATAAGTTTCAACTAGAGTGCCTCGAACATCTCATTTCCCGCCCTTTAAAAAGTGTGGACACGCTTGTCACCACTGATTTTTCCGAATTGTCATCCTTCTCAGATTTTGAACGTCAGTTGTGAAAATGTTCTCGAATATGTTTAGTTCGGTAATGAATTGCGTAAATTTTAAGAATGATGATCAACTATCGTTTATATGAGATGCCCAAAAACGAGAAGTGTTTGTTAAAGCTTCAAATTCAAAATTTGTGTCTCATGTTTTTTGTTCAAATGTTTAACAATATGACAAGCGTGGCCTCACTTTTTAATGTATATTTTGTAAAAGTTTTTGAATAAACTTATATTATTATTATTATATTATTAATATATATATATTATATACATATATATATATATACCGTGCCCATGCTATTGAATAAATCGTGGGTATACAGGGTCACACCAAAGTGCATCTAAACTTTCCTATTTGAAAAGGGACACCCAGTATATTATTCCATATTCATGTAGAGTTTATTATTACAAATTCAACAATGCCGGGTTTGATGGGATTTTTGCAAACGACTACGAAGATATGGCAAAAAACAAAACGATTCAATAAAAAATTCATATGATGAGATGTTTCTAATATAACACGATTGAAATCGAATGTAAAGAAAATAATTAAAACCTCAACTGCTCAATATGTCGTCCATTCTGCTGCAAACATTTCCTAGCTCTTTTGATAACGTTCATTGTGACCCTACGTATCACGTTGCGATCAATTTGTGCGCATAAATTTGTGATTTTCTCTTTCATTTCTTCCATATTCACAATTGGCGACTCATAAACCTGTTGTTTCAAGTAGCCCCACAAATAAAAATCAAATGGGTTGAGGTCTGGCGACCGAGCTGGCTAGTTGCTATCACCATCGAGACCAGTGGTGGTTATTAGATTTTTTCCAAACTGATGGCGGAGATAATCCTTTACGGGTCTGTAATTATGTGCAGAACACCCATCATTCGATTTCAATCATGTTATATTAATAAAATCTAATCATATGAATTTTTCATCGATTTGGTTCATTTTTTGCCATATCCCCGTAGTGATTTGAAAAAATCCCATCAAACCCGCCATTGTTGAATTTGTAATAATGAACTCTACTTGAATATGGAATGATATACTGGGTGTCCCTATTCAAATAAGAAAGTTGAGGTGCACTTCGGTGTGACCCTGTATACCTACGATTTATTCAATAGCATATTTCGAGTGAGGATCATCAAACATACTGGGTGACCAAATTTTAAGTCATTCGATCGCGTGGTTTATTTTTTACAAGGGGGGACAGTTTAGCTGGGACACGGTGTATATATAATAAGTCCCTCATACCTTCAGTATCTCATTGTTGATGCACAAAATCAGTATTGCGATGACCGATATCAATATGGCTACATGGTTGGCTTTCTCCAGATTTTTTATTATATCAATTACAGTCTGAAATGAAACAACAATCATTATACTCAATATTCTATACCAATATATTCAACAGCTATAGAGAGTTGGAGTACACACTGTATGTATACGTAGACCTCCAGGTAGACGTTAACGTACGGAAAATTACGTTTACGGATTATCCTTGATATGAGTTGAAGTCATCAGTGTCATCGTAACGTAAAAATAGTTATTTATTATAGAAGGGAAGAAAGTAGTAGATTTTAGCTCCAGGTTGTTAAGCTAGAAGTTTGTGGTATCAATAAATTCATAAGCTTTGATTTCTATCTAGCTCCTTCTTCTCAAATATATGAAGAAGGATCATATCTTCACAAACGTACTGACCTAACTTGAGCGTAGCCCCGTTGAATTTTTGATCAAATGCTGTTTCTATCAAGTGTATTTTCTGTATTTTCTATCAAATTTTTTTCCTATCAATTGTATTTTCTATCATTTATGTTTCTATCAAATGTTTTTTCTATCATAAAACATTCGACCAAATGCATTTCTATCAAAAACACTTTCGATCAAAAGACTTCTATCAAATGTTTCTCTATCATTTGTCATTCGATCAAATTTCCGCCACCCAATTATCCTGTCCTCTCGTTTTCAATTAGATTGGTATACAAAAATTTGGAGTCAAAAAAATAGTTGATGATTTTATGGATTAGAATAGTAAAGTACCATTTGAGACCACAAATATATTTTTTGAAAATTTGTGCCACCTCATTATTGAAACTTCTAGATTTGACTCAAGTTAATAGGTAAAAAAGTTGTATGCGGAAACACCAAATACATTCAGTTTCACTTATTTTTTCCTGGTCTTTCCAAATTTGTAAATGGAATTTTGAAATATTGATATACAGGGTGTTGTTTCGACTAGAAACCTACTCATTATTTTTTTTAAGGCCTGCCCTGGAATGAGAATTTTTTCATTATGTCAATCGTCATCACTGTGGACGAAGATGATACAAACCAAATATCAAGAGAATGTATAGGGTGTTCTATAAGTTACGATTAATTGAAAAAATGTGGGAAATCAATGAATTACCCTGTATCTTCGTCAGAAAATTTCACACCGAAATATTATTGAAAAAATACTAGTATATAAGATTGTGCTGAATAAAATACAAAATACCGACTTTAGTCCAGCAAAAAGTTAAAAAAGGCAGCTGGTGGCAGTTCAAATCATTATTCTTGACTAACTTCATCCCACTAAAGTTGGTGAAAACATATTTCGTTGAATAGAACTCCATGTAGCATTTAAGTATTGATGAAAAATGTCTAGTGTAATTTCATGCTCCTTCCCCCAAGTAGGAGGAAAAAATTTCCGTAAATTCGTTTGGTTGCTATCGTAAAGATACGAAATACTAGGTATTAATTGGTTGAAAATATCTAGTGTTAAATTTTCATTGTGATATAACTAGCCTATATTGAATACATAGAGGAATCAACGGGTCCACTTACATAGACTAGAGCGAAATATCCTTTGTATCTAGGAAGAGATATGCCCAAGAGATCCTTGATTTGAGTGCTCACCACTTGGACCGCTGCACCAGCAGTGAATGCATTAACCAGCATGTCAGAGAGAAGAGCACTAGCAGCACCCAGTCGCAAAAAATACATAGCCAACTGAAAAACACAAGATCGTTCAAAGTTTCGATATTTCTTCTGATTTTGAAATGTAATTTAACACTTTTCAATAACGTCTCACTTTACGTAACCAGTTGAGTAAGATGAAATATTAAATAACTGACGATGACATGTTCAACACCAGTTAAACGTGGTTATACGTAATGAGGATTTGGATGGAGGAAGAGGATTAGATTTAGATTGAATTTACAGTGGGGCCTTCGGGCAATTTGCCTCCACACCGCGACCTTTTCAGATCTATTGTATCTGCCCTCAAAATCGTTTAGAGTTCTTTGGCTAGCCCCACCTTCTCTATGAGACTCCATAGGCTAGCTCTCAGATCCTTTGTGTAACTTTGAGCTCTTGGTTTTTCCTCACCCAGCGTAAGTAACCTTAGTCTTGACAAGCCCTCACAGTGGCAAAGTATGTGTACTGCTGTTTCCTCCTCTGCACAACAGTTCTTCAGTCAGACCTATCGTACTCATATGGTTGTTGAGCCTACAATGCCCTGTGAGAAGTCCCACTAGTATTCTAGTTGTACTTCGTTTCTGGCTCAGTAGATATTCTGTGAATGTCGGCGTTGGTTTTTCAATCATTCTCATTCCTGATGGCGAGTTGTTCGACCATTCTTGACATTTGGTTTGCATCCATGATTTGATACTTGTCTCTTGTATAGCTTTCGAAACACCACAAAAGGGTTCTGGGCCATTCAGAGCTTTGTTTGCTCCTGCTACTGGTGACCTTAATCCTTCCAGGAAGAGAATAGTGAATTTTGTGTTGCTTCCTCGATATCACTTAGGGAATCTGCTACGCTTGTCCCATAAAATCCCATCGTTATTAAAAATGACGCGTATATAACTGGTTAGGTGAATATCTATTATTATTCATGTACAGATTGTTTATATCGAATCGTTACGCATAAAGGGGTATTAGGGAGGATGGCATTTGGCAACATTGCAGTGTAGCGGAGAATAGCGGTGGTGTTGGTCAGACGTGGCCAGATACGATAGCAGAGTCATTCTCTTGCTATGTTGCCATTCACATGCCCTATCAGTAACGATAGGGCAAACAATCTGTATATTAATAGCTGGATCAGAATCATTTTATCAACTCACCTGAACCACTGCTGCTACAAAGGTTACCGTAGTAGCTACTTGGATTGGCGTGTATCCAGTTGACACATCAGTGGTATTACTGGAAGCTTCAAGGACGTCTAGGTCTTTGAAGTAGGCTGGATCGCTGTGTTCCAGGACTGCTTTACCTGTCATCAAACAGGCTATGGAAAACGTACCTGTGGAGAAAATATTACTGATTCAATAATTAGAGCTTTGTTGGTAGTGATAGAGTTAAGGAATAGAAGCAGTGACTTCATTTTCTGAAATGTAATTTTCAAAGAGGTGGACCACTACTTTTGTCCATCAATTTAGTATTCTTCATTTCAATGGAAATATCACCTATTGAATGATTCATAGCACAGCACGTAATGTGTTCAATTCAAGTACAGTAACCAGAGATAATCGGAAGATACTCACCCATAGAATTATGCCTAGATGTTCCAAAAATAACGTAGACCAGAACAGGGAATACAGCCATATATATTCCAACTACTGGAGGTACGTTCCCTAATAAAGCGTATGCCATTCCTACAAGAATAGACTATAGATACTAAATGAATATGAATAGCCCAGTCATTTCCACAAATGTTCATGAATGAACGGAACTGGTAGATAAACAGAGAAAAACAACTACTTTCCTGGGTATATGCCACGCAGAACATATGAATTACATCCTCTCGATATCTATCATATAGACGAATTAGATCGCGAGTGTTTCTTTCCTGAATGCCGAATGGTGCTTAAATTGTTCACTATACTACCACCAGACCAGTTTCGAGCTTTTGGCTCTCATCAGTGCAGGGGTGTCCCCAGATGGCATTCATGACCGTCATCCGGTGCGAAGCTGACCCAACGTTAACACAGCTCAACATTTAAAACCCACGAGGCGTTCGTACGTCCACTGCGAGATGAACACGAACGCCACCTACGATAGAAGGAAAGGAACACTCCAGAACAAATTCCCATTTCAGATAAAATGGGAGTGGCTGAATGCCCAACTGGCGTTCGTGTCCATCTCGCAGTGTTTACGTTGGGTCAGGTTCGCACCAGATGGCGGTCATGAATGCCATCTGGGGACACCCCTGCACTGATGAGAGCCAAAAGTTCGAAACCGGTCTGTAGGTAGTCCAGCGTTCCTGAACGAGAGAAACACTCGCGATCTTATCCGTCTGTACGAATCGTTGCATAGATTTCGGCAGGATGTAATAATTCAATGTTCTGCGTGACATATAGCCAGGGAAGTATAGTTGTTTTTCTCTCGTTATCTACCAGTTTGGTTCATTCATGAACATTTGTGGAGATGACTTTGAGCTTTGCATATTTATTTAACATTTCATTCCACTTTGCATTTTCGTAGATGACTATAGACATCAAAAGGAAGAAACAAAGCTCAAAGTCATCTCCACTACTTTATTACTGATGTAAATCAATCAAGGACTTATAAAAGTCTGTCTTCAGCCATATTTAGAAGTAACTACAAGCAAAGGCATGTGGAAATATACATTTTATGAATACCAAAAGTTGACTCACATGGAGGTGAAACAGTATTTTAAAATTAGATGCCGATGTCTATCATCATCGACATATGTTTTCGAAGTAGGCAAAAATCAAGGAATTGTAAAATAGGAAAGGATTGAAGTGTGAACACCAGAGGTTTATTTCATCAATGCTTTTACCTTGTGGTATGTGCATGATAGCGCACGTTATCCCAGCTATCAGATCTGAAGTTGCATCTCCTTTCCAATCGTAATTCCCTAACCATCGTATCGATGGCACTGCTTTAGTGATTATTCTCTTGAAACGTAGTTTCTCACCGCAACAGTGGGATAATACTAAAAAAATAGTAGATTCTTTTATTGTAGGACGTAAAGTGACACTCTGTTTGAGAAGCGAATTTTGCGAAGGGAAAATAAGTGGAAAATAGCGATTATCTATTTCTCCATATACCAGTGTGTTTGGCTCGGTAATCAAATAAAGGTAAACAATATCGTTGTGTGAGGCAAAAAGATATTGCTGGCCGTGATTATTCAAAAACTATTTGTTCAATCAATCAGATCCCGAGAATAACGAATGAACTACAGATATCGAACAAACAAAAATACTTGACTATATGGTGTATTTATATCTTGAGCATGAGTATAAGATTTCAAATCTGCCGAAATCAGAAACAAATCAGGTATGCGTCCCAACTCAAATAATCAACCGTAACAATGTTTTTCATTCTTGATGACCTATAGTACATCCTTTTCAGTTTCAGTCAGTAATAGAAATGTCAATTAAAGAGCCAATTTTGGTATTGAAATGGACGACGTTTGTGTCGGATGCACAAAAAAATATTTCCCATGAATAATCGTAATGTTATTGAATGAATAATTGATTACTATGGTCTATTATAGTTATGCTGCTTGACCTCAAAAAAAGAGGCTCGTGGTACTCTCAATATGTTGAGAACTGAATTATTTATTTTAGTAGAGTGAACGTGACTGGTGAATACTTTTCAAAAACCATCAGTTCAGAGATGAAAAATATAATAAGCAATGACTTGAGTCAACTCACAATTTTTTTTGGTATCTTCATATCGAAGCTGTTCTCTAAGTTGATCCTTTTGGTATAACGGTCGTTCTATCTTGATTTGTGGAAAAATATCGGTATTGTTCATGTTGATTTAGAGTTGATAGAGTTCACTGAAAGGAGAATATGGTTTAAACAGGGTGTCTCGTTGGAAAATAGAAAAATGTCAACGGTGGGTAGAGCTCATCAAGGTGGTTCTGAATATACCATTTTTGTAGGATCTTACATGTTCAATATCCGAGGTATAGGGTGTTTTATTAATTTTGTTCAAATCTTCGTGACAATATATAACTTACGATTTACGAACCACCCAGTAGATTCTATTGACATTTTATACACAATTCCTTTTCCTCACCTATTAGTCATGAGAAAAATCCGGAGAAAAGTCCGGATTAACGAAAATTGATCATATTTCTGGACACCAAAAAGAACGCCCTGTATTTTTGAAATTCCAAAATCCGCCCACATATTATCATTATTTGGAAAGTGCACAAAAAACTGAATCGAATGGTGTACTTTTTATTTTCTCGTCTCGCATGCAATTTTACTAAATAATATGTGTGCGCGAATGTAGGAATGCCCATGAATCACCCTGTAAGTGCGATTGGCTAGTCTGCTATGAATCGCCCTGTATTTTGCAGAGAAGCTGTGATGTTTTTGTTGGACGTTTGGAGTTGCCATGGAAAGGGAACAAGTTTTTTTTTCTACTCACATAACTAAAATGGCATTTAGCGTACGGATATGTACCACGCTAAATGATCGATTAATCACGGATTGTCGATCTGTGATTTATTCAAAATATTAAACACGTTACCATGGCAACACGATTTCTTAAACACATTACCATGGCAACGCTGAACTGCGTTAAACACAGCTTCAGTAATTTGAGACATGTCTGGCCTGTCAATTGTATCAACTGTCAACTGTTATTTTCGAATTTTGTATCAGAATTATTCAAACAATATCCGTTTGTATCAGAATTCTTCATTGAAAATATATGTCAAAAGTAGACGAGAGTGAAATCGAAGAGAATGTTCTGGTACTTGCATATCTCCAAGAAGTGTGAAAATGAAGCATCCATCTTTGAGAACAATTTATTTATTCTGCGCTAAGCATGACAATAAACGTGAAACAAAGGTTAGTATAAGCAATGGACTGGACACATCTACAACCAATATCACTTATACGTGTTTCGCTGGTTGCATGCAGTTGCATGTATTATGTTCTCAATTCCCATTCCATTCGAATTATTTTGTAGGTTGGCAGGAATTGCAGGTATGTTAATGTAATTTTCGGAGTTCGTAGAAAAATCATAGTATGTAACGCGTTTATAAACTCTTCTAGACACTCGTTTAATAAACACTCGCTCTGCTCCTCTCGTGCTTAAACTACTCGTTACTAAAAGGACGTTTATAACACTTGTTACATAATATACTATTAAGGGTTGGATCAGAGAGGGTGTTTTTTGATCGCCATGAATCCAAAGTGTGGACTTGAAAGAAAGAACCACAAAAATCCGCTATTATTTCATAATCCAAAGATCAGAAAAATCTTCATCAACGTAGCGTAGACAATCTACGGTGATTTCATGTGATTCCTGCTAGGCTAGCAGTGGAATTGGAGGTCAGCAGAAGCCATCACCTATTCAGGGGATTCTGGGCCACACTGACTTTGAATTTGATAGAAATAAAGCATTAATAAAATTATCTGACTTTCAATACACAAATCCTGAGATATCTTGAAAGATTCTATTATAAATATCTGATTTTGAATTTGGGGTTGGGCTTTAGGGGATAAGAATAAAAGAAGAACAAACTAGGAGGGGCCGATAAAAAAGATTGAAAACGGAAGAGTGAAGAGGATACCATCAAAGACAAGTTGAATATTGATGACAAAATTCATAGGAACTTTTTTATAAAAAAAAAACTCACCAGCTCCAACATATTCCAATCACACAAGTTGATTTAGTTGATCAGTTAATGAATCAGATAGAAACAATACTGAATACATATTACAAGACGAAAGACAAATTATGTAGATATGGTCAATAACCCATGACAATATTGCCAATGAGCAGGGTTAGGTGCAAGAAAAAAATTAAGGCGTATCAGGCATTCATAAACGTTCAAGGATTGTGTCTTTGAGCTAATTGATCCATACGAAATAATATGGTCCATGATTCTTAGAAAAAATCCGTTTACAAACATCACTTCAACTTGAAATGCATACCTAAAATGTCATGAGAAATACGGAAAGTGATCATCCACTTTTGAACACCTTATGATCACTACTTATTGTTCTCAGACGAATCTCCAACCGTCCTCATCAAGTCACCCCTACAGGGTGTTTCCGAAATTGGGGCGATAAATGAAATGAGGTATTCTGTGGAACATGACACGATAAACCACAAGAAAAAATTGTTTTGAAATTTTTACAAAAAATGTGCGATCCCCCCAAACTACATCTTTCAACTTTTAATGAACATTGCAAAAGTCATTGATACTTCCGGTGCTTGTGATCTCGCCGAAAGATGAAGCTTGGGTTGAGCTATTAACCTCTGCTCAATGATTCACAGAAGTTTCATGCCAACTTTGAGGCTCAATATCTTCCAAAACATTTATTTTTTCGACAAAAATGTACTCGTTCATTTCGCTTTTCGCTTTCGCATTTCTCTTCTCCTATATAATGCATTTCATCGATCGGCCATATTTCGGAAACACCCAGTTTAAATGCAGATTCTTATTCTGTCAATATGATTTTAAGGATAGTGCAAATTCTGGCATGGAATAGCATCGTGCTATATATGTGGTTATATGGTTGATAGATACAGATATGGGTGCAAAAAATGTTGTTTTCAAGCGTATTTTTCGCGAAAATCTCGAGTACTACTTTTTTCACTGCTGTCAAAGCAGTGGACAATATTGGAATGAATGAATATGGTTTATTTTTGGAAAACAAATGGCCACCTACCTTGACCTTGAGGCATGGTATATAGATAGAAAATTTAAAGATCAATAAAAAATATTGAAATATGAATTGTTCGAAATTCATTTTTGTATTTATTTCATTATTTATTGGTCGTAAAAAAATAGTATATGCTACGATCCAGTGTTAACTCTATTAATACACTCTCACAATTACCTCTTGTATGATCGCTGCATGAAATACTGTTATGAAATGAAAGAATACTATTTTTCGTGTATTTATCTCCGACTGTGGCATCAATTGCGGCGTTCCACATCACAGATCAATTTTGGCACCAATATTCTTCCTATTCCATATCAATGATTTGTTGGGAGTAACCACTCGCACTATCCACAGATTTGTATATGATAGGACCCTCCATACTCTGTTCTCTTCCAGAATTCCCATTTCCTCGCATCAGGAAAATAAGAACTCTCGACTAAGGCTGGTCAACGCTGTTGAATTCAGGCGAAACTGAGTTCGCCTGATATAACATTATCTGATACCACCATTAAAACAAAGTCCATGAACCTAGCATGCATCTTTCATTGGAAATCCATGTTAGATCCATAGCGAAAGCTGCATCAAGAAAACTTGGATTTTTAATCCGTGCGAAAAGCTATTTTATATCTCAACAGCTTCATATGATATACAGAGCACAAATATTTTTCCCACATAATATGGGATTCAACATCAGCCAAACATACGCTGATTCTTTTAGATTCCATCCAGAGACGAGCCATTCCCCTGATGATGGGTGATGCCACACTTAGGGGTCGCCAAGACAAAAATTCTTTTCTCGATTACAACTTCTCTTCTTATCTTCGGAAAAAGTTTGATACTTGTCAATGAATTGGAGAAAACCATCCAGTCAAGACGGACCGAATAGAAAATCCGCAAAGAGAACTGACCAGAGTATACTTTTCAGAATTCTGATCCTTATATTCGTACGGAAGGCGATATATTGAATTCCTTTCCAGATACATTCTCAAGCAAACAGATAGACAGATATTCACCTTTATGTCTCTATGGAAACACGACAGGTACCCTTACGAAGGGAGAGTATCAACTCGGCGTTTATAAACCCTCTCTGCAAAGGAGGTCGGTGCATGGTGGGTTAGGTATATACAGTGTTTTTCATTGCAGAGAAAATCGTTGTTTATCTGCCTACCTCGTCTGCATTGAGAGAGTTGATGAATTGATGAATAATCATAAAAATATATCGCATTTCAGTTACGAATGTTGAAAACAATATTCAGACTTTATAGATTCATATTCTATGTACGTCTCACGATTCGAATTTCAAATTGATGCTCAGTTTTAGATTCGAGCAGCACATTATTTGGCATTCATGTTCCTTATTATAACCAACAAAATTGAAAATGTGGAAGATGTTTACTGGGGAAACCACTTTTCGGAAGGAGAGCGAATATGAAGCAATTCAGTTACGGTTGTTTGAAATATAATTCAGGTATGTTTCAGATTCAACATCAGTTCTAATTCTCATGGACTTTCTGGTATGTGATATTTAGTTGCAGATCCGAGAAGCAAAGTGTTTGAAACTTGGCAATAAATTGAAGAGGACCACCCAGTCAACACGGACCGAATAGAAAATCCGCAAAGAGAACTGACCAGAGTATACTTTTCAGAATTCTGATTCTTAAATTCGTACGGAAGGCGATATATTTAATTTATTTTCAGATTCTCAAGCAAACAGATAGACAGATATTCACCTTTATGTCTCTATGGAAACACGACAGGCACCGTTACGAGGGGAGAGTATCAACTCGGCGCTTATAAAATTTCGAAAAATCTTGTCTTGACTCAAGAAATTTCAAGATCTACCTACATATCGAGCGCTTAGACGCATTCGAATTTCTGATCAGTGGCGTCAGAAAATGTATGTACAGAGCGTGCCCAAATATCATCCAATATATTATGGGTCTATGTGATTAACTAAAGATCAAAATTAATAGGTGATTATGATGATAAATAAGTGTCATAATTTTTTTCAGTAGATAATGAATGTTTCAGTATATCAGTAGATAAATATGCAAATCAGTAGATGTGAAAATTCAGTGAAACTGGCAAGCCTGTCGGGTGCTAACACGACAATCTGGTGGTTCCCCGATCTTTATTTTCATTTTCTGACAAAAGCAAAATGATGCCAGTTTGTGAAGTGATAGACGTACGTTTTAGCGTTTGCATTCTCAGTCGTGAAATTTCATTCTTGGTAGTGACATAAAATTTCTTGTCTTGTCTTGAAATCTAAAATCACTTCTTGTCTTAATCATGTCTTGAGATCATGATAAGATCTTGAGAATTTCAAGAAGTTGGCGATCCCTAGCCATCACTAATCAATTGGCATCATTGGAACACCGTAGGAAAGTCGGCGACTTTTCATACTTTTCTGTAGATACTTCCACAAAAATGTTCCTAAGAAATCTCTTGAATCATTCCAATTCTAGAAATACCAAATAACGCAGTCAGACGTACTCAGTTCAGCGAGCACGACATTATTGTTTCGTCGTCAACCCGAATGGAAGTCAAACAAGTCTTTACCAAAACTTGTTTGTCTTTAGAACGGCAAAACTTTGGAATTTTTTGCCAAAGGAAGTATTCCCAAAACTTATAATCTCCAAAAGTTGAAAAAAATCCAATACTTACCTCCTTTCCCAATCCTCCCTAAGTACGCACGATGTTTTTCGAACATAATAGGGATTCCCTTTCGTGCGCTTCAGAAGAAAAAGAACCCTGCTGTTTGCTCAGGATCATTATATGTATCCAGATATCTAGTCCTTTAATGCTACGTAACAATATATACTTTCGTATTGCTAAAAATTTTCAGAAGGCAGAACATGGTGAGCTTTTGTATATTTGAGGAATTCATTTACACTGAACTGTTCACCTGTTAACAGTCAGTGACTATTATTAAAACATTACACATTAAGATATTATGTTCTAAACGATTATTTGCTTCAGTGGAGCCCTTCAGTTTATGCATTCCACTACCTTGCGGTAGCAAAAATTATTATAAATTACAAAATCACACACCCGATCTAGTAAGTCTATTTTCCTTCCATTAAGCATCCTTAACCTATTTTTTCCACATTCACTGACTGTTCGATACCGAACCGAAACTGTGACTGTTCTTTACTGCCACTGGTATAGTGATTGCAATGTTATCTATCTTTGAACAATTAGTTTCAATATTTATTTTAGATTCTGATTTACAATCCAAATGCAATCAAACGTAACTTGGCATTAAAGAAATATTTCGCACCATTACGTCATCGGTCTATGAATTGAAACAGAAGATTCCTATGTATTTTGAACGAGACCTGTGAATTTTCTAATACAATGTGTCCGGAAAGGTCATGTCTTAAATGATAGGGCTGATATAGAGTGAGACATAATAATAAATAATGCCGAAAATATGTCTTTCAGGCTTCGTTACGGAGTTAGAATGAAAAAACTAATTTCATGTATAACTTTCAAACGGACAGGTAGACGAACTCATACTAATGCACCTTTCCATACGTAACGGATTTTCAGTGAATGTGTTTTATATAGGATGGGACGAATTTATTCCGTTTGATGAAAGCATTTTTGAAAGAGGTGACAAATTTGAAATTTTGCTTTCACCGTTTGATCCCTTCATGTTTGTTCTACAAAAATGGTATATTTCATTTAAATCGATATCTTGTACCGAACTAGAGAAAATCGTATTTAAAAACATACATCCCAACCGTTTCAAAGGTGATAAAACTCCATTTATGTATCCGCTATGATGCGCTCGTGCATAAAATACTCGTTACTAAAAGGAATTTTATGACACCTGTTACATAATATACTTACTTATTTGGAATGAGACACCCAGTATTTTATTTAATAATTGGTAATGGGTCACCATTATAAATTCGATGATACTTTCGTGAACATATCAAAAACTAAGCCAATAATGAAACGATAATGATCTAATGAGAAAATCTAACGAAAACAAACTCACCTTTATCAAGACATATGATGATCTACTCCATGAATATTAGACATTGTACAAGAAAATCAACAGAGCATCGAGTTTGCAGTAAATAAAATACTTAATATATTTCGAAAAGATTATCTAGGTAAATGGTTATTTTTATCTCAAATAGGTACTTGGTTACCTATACCAGATTCCAGATGATATCACAACGCTTAATTTTCATGGGTATATACAGGGTGATTTAGGTAGGCCACACATTATAGAAGTTGCAGTTAGATTAAAAAGTTGAAAATTGGCATGCTTTCATAATCGACTATTTCCAATATACCTGAAATTTTTTTACTCCTCCAGCTGTACGGGGTCTTCTTCTTCCTTGTTTCTTTAACGTCGGCCTTTTTCTGCTACATGAGGCTAATCACCGATGCCGGTGAGCACACTACCTCCAACCGGAAATTTTGCCGAATCCTCTGGTGTTCCAACCAGAAGTACGGATCTTTAACGAGTCCAACATCCATGGATGGCCTCTCCGAAGGACATCTTGTGCTCATTGATATGGTAGCTGTAGGCTGTAGCTATGTATTCAGCGTTGGGTTTTTAGTAGCGATCCTTCGTACTCAAATCTAGTACGCAATTGTAATAGATCGTACTAGATTCAACATAGGGATATTGAAAATGAATCTCTATTTGGGTAGTTTTGAAAACTATAAACACTCAATAACTACTAAGAGGAAAAATGGAACGAAATAGATAACTCGGTCAATAATGAAAATATGAAATAAAACAAAATAAGTACTTCTGACAGAAATAGAAGGTGCATTCTTATACAGTGAGCCCGTTAAGGTTGGACGATATTCATCGAGAGTTTAATATGTTAATTGTGAAAAAAAGCTCAGACACTTCAATTGTCTGTTTCAGATGCGAATTCGTTGGTCTACTCATATTCTTGATGAGTAGGGTTACCACCTCTCAGGGTTTGACCCGGAGTCTCCGGGTTTCAGTAGGGCTCCTACGGGCTCCGGGTGGGATACTTAATTCTCCGGGCCAGTACGGGCACGAAAAATCATAAATATATTCAAAAGTACTCCATCGGAGGGAAGTTGACAGAAGTGGCAAAATCACGTGAGATCAATTGCTAAAAGTGCATCCCAAAAATTTGGTTTTCTGTTCAGGGCCAAGAGCTATTTCACTTTCAGTCAGCTGCTTATGATCTATAAGGCACAGATCCGAACCCTCCTGGAATACTGTTCCCATATTTGGAGTGCAGCACCCAAACATACCCTGAAAATGTTGGATTCATCTCGTGGGTGATGCCTCGCTCACAAACTCACTCACTTCTCTGGAACACCGTAGAAAAGTTGGCGATCTGGCTTTATTTTATAGATAGAAATATCAACAATTGTTCCTCCCTTGTCAGTCCCCGCGAGATTAACCCGTCGAGTTGAAGCTTCGCACCGAGGGGTAAGTACTTAGCCATTTTTTGTACACCAGGGGGTAATGAATGCCTCAATTCACCGAAATTACCCTGCAATGCCCATTTTTCAGTCAACAATACCCCGCATTGCCCAACATTGTCCTCCAATGCCCAACATTGCCCCCGCAATGCCCAACAATGCCCCTAGTGCACTATATAACTATCTCTTTTCATTCCATGTGTTGAAGAGAGACAGACTATATTGAAATGTGAAAACTGACTTATGTCTTTTACATAGTTCAAATTCATCTTAATCTCTTATGTAGTAAATTAATCATCTGATGGGACGAGGAATAATGAATAGTTATACATATTTTATTAAGAAACCACACATAACAAGCAGTCGAACATGAAACAAACATATAAACACACGCCTTTTCACAAAAACGACTCAGGGCGAACATTTTTTTTCTCTCCTATACTTTATAACTAAGAAGTTATTCCTGAAGGTACTTCTTTAGACAGTATCACAATAATTCAGAGATCATAGTTTGGTAACAGGAACCTGGGCATATAAGTCCAGATATTATAGGTTAACAGTACTAAAATCTCGACTACTGAAATTAAACATTTTTTTATGTTTATAGTTATTAAAATAACGCAAACTCTGAATTCTTTGTCGAAACTTAAACAAAGTTGAAATATTCTTGAATCAAAAACAACTTGAACCAGAATATATATTTTGTTATAGCATATCACACTGGATACCACATTAGTCAACTTGAGTATGTTTTTAAAATTTGATAATTGGAAATGTTCACTTTATCCGCTCTTTTCAGGAGAAACGGAGAATTTTCCCCAAAAACAAGTAGTCTGTAAGAAATACCATCATTTGGTATTGAATTTTCAATTTCTGATTTTTCTGGCCACTTGTTGGAATGTTTTCTAAAAACCTTATTCCAAATCTGTCTTGGTTCTTTTTCATTACCAGTCCCAGATACCAAGTTTTATCAAATACCACTGCATAGAAATTATCTATTTATTTACTTCAGGATCAAAAACGTCAAGTTTTTTCATCATCCTATCTTCTTCTCGATCTTCTCTCAAAGAGTAGAATGACTCCACATCTGTGGAATCGTCTGAAACAATATCTGGTTCATTTTCTTCTTCTGAAGAATCTCCGATACATTCAGTTTTCTTTTTCTTAGTTTTTGAATTGTCAGCAGGTATTTTCGACTTTCTTCTTTGGACAGATCTAGGATATAGCATAGAAACGACAGATCTAGGATATAGCATAGAAACGCTGTATGCGATCGTTACTGATCCGTCCCTACCCCTCCTTCAGAAGTCAGCAGAATGATGATTTTTTTTATTAAAATCATATTATGATTTTCCAAAGTGACTTCCACATATGGACTTTTCTCATCTATTTCGTGGTTTTTACTCGAATAGTCGGTTAAATCCAATTCCAATCCAATCCAAAGCTAGCTGTAGCCGGAGTTGATGACAGTATGACGCGATGCGAAACGCTTGAATGACGCAATCAAAATGTAAGCGGAGGCATCACCTCGAACCACAGAAAATATAGGGACCTCGAACAGGAACGGATGCGCGCGCAACAAATTGAGCCCAAACATTGCTCCACATTGCCCTTTCAGTGCTATTTTAATACCCCACATTGCCTAACAATGCCTCACAATACCTTGCAATGCCCATCAATACCCTGCAGTGCCCGACAATGCCTCGCATTGCCCCGCAATGCCCCACACTGCCTCGCATTGCCCCGCAATACCCCTAAGTTGTACACCGGATTGCCCCATGTACTTACCCCTCGCTTCGCACCCTTTCGTGGTCACTTTGAAGACCTGCAGAATATCTCTTTCCAAAGGCAAATTTTGACCCAATGAATATGAATGGCGGCATCACAGATTTCGCATCTGGATAATTGGCTGATCTGTGACTTGATAAGATCTCTCGGCAAGATAAGGCATTTCTTGATGAATGATGATGAATGAAAAATCAGTAGATTCTGTAGTCAGTTGAATTTAGAATATAGCCTCCCTTTCATAAATCGTGTTGTGTGAACTGAAAAAATAGTTTTCTATTCAAAATAAGAAAGTTTGTGCCAACTTTTGGCAAACCCTGTACAGCTGGAGGACTTGTAATATTTCAGGTCCATTGATTGATTACAAGAGCCCACCAATTGTCAAGTTTTTAATTCAATTGCAAGTTAGAAAACTTCTGATGTGTTGTCGACGTAAATCACCCTGTATGATTCAAAATTATTCGTACATCAGAATGGTGATTTGATCCCTCCTGGAAAAGTTACATATTCATTGCATTGGAGGGGTTTTAGTTTCAGACTGTTCATTTCATTTTTTTTCCATCTCTTTGGGCACAGAAGGAAATTCCTATAATGTTTGTGGAACATCGCGTGTACCTAGGTATATACATTGAATTTTGATGACATGAACCACGGTGTACCTCGAGGCTCTGCCTTGGGGCCACCTCTATTCATTATTTATGCGAATGAGCCAAGATATTTTATGACCCCCTATAAATATGTCGTATTTTGTGCAATCACGAAAAACGCATCCAATGTGTTCAACAGGAAATACACTAAACTTTTTTTATTTTAATGAGACACCCTGTATATTGTTGCAAATTTTTTTCATTTCTAATTTATGCATACTGAAGTGGAAATAATCTGCCATCATGAAAATCTGGAGCACATTTAGTAAAACCACTTGAAAGTTTTTACGCATTAGATAAATTACCATGAAGATAAGCAAATTGAAATTTTCTTTGTATCAATAGTAGAAATATACGTGTAAGTACTGACTAGTAGATGACTGTTGACAAACTGTCAAGTTTATTGTGATTTACGGAAATAAATTGATTGATGAATGTGAACTAATCATGGAGATGTCCTGGTTTCAGTTCATGAAAATAGGAAACAGTAACTGAAATTAACAACCTATAATTTCAATGAATATACACTTCCTATTCAACTTCACTATGGAAATTTAAATTTTTTCATGTTGGAGTTTGCACCTTCGATTTTGTCCATTTTGATCATCCAATGCATTCCGAAAATATTGATCAACACTGATCACTGAGTGAAACATACCTAATTCAAAAGTATCCTTACATAATATATGATCGTATCGAAATGATCAAACACTACTCCAATTAAGAAAATTGTTACTCTAGTCTTGCACGGGTGTTGATCCTGAATGAAATTATGAAGCATGACTGAAGAGAATGTGCACGATATTCATTGATTTTTACGAAAGCACTTATTCCATATCGTTAAATTTACTTCTTTGAACAATTTTAAAATGAACCCGGAGCAACAACAATAATCTTGTTCTTAAATAACTGAACAAAACGTTCTTCGGGTTCTGGCCAATCAGATTTCACTTCAAAAAGTCTGTCACAGTCAGCAATAAACAGGGTGTTTCTATATCAAGATCCTGACAAACTGTTTAGGATTAGTTGGAAACGAATGGATGTTAAAATAAAAGAGGCATACTGGAATTCATAAGTAACTCTGTTCGCCCTACAGGGTGTTTCGGAAAGTGAAGCGATAAATAAAATGGGATGTTGTATGAAACTATAATAGCCCAATCAATCGCGAAAAAAACTGTTTTAGAATCATACAAGAATTT